ACACACACGAACACACACACACGAACACACACACACACGAACACACACACACGAACACACACACACACGAACACGCATACAAACAAACAAACATCCAATGGTCGCTGGCTGCGCGTGCATGTGGTGAGCAATAAAAGGCAGTCTGCCCATTTGGCTGTGGACGGCCATTTTGAAATTTCAAACAACTGAAATGCGCCTGAGAGAGAGAGGCGTCCGGACATAAATTTTTGATTAAAATTTGTAAAAGTTGGAAGTGTGTCCGTGTGCGTGTGTGTACGTATTTATGCACGTGTGCAGGTTTGCATGTGTGTATGTATGTGTAAATGTATGCACGTGTGCATGTTTGTATGTATTTATGTGTAAGTGTATGTATGTGTGCATGTTTGTATGCATGTGTGTATTTTTGATTGTTATTGCTAAGGTTTGGGCTGATGTTGTAATGGAAGTAGAAGTAGTAGCATCTGTTGCTACTGTAGTAGCTCCACTAGTAGCAGCAGCAGCAGCAGTAGTAGTGGCTGTTGTTGTTGCTGCAAATGTTTGTCATAAACGTTAACAATGAATTATAATTTATTGCCTTAACAGTAAAAGTGAAAAATGATTGGAATAAAGAACGCTAGTAGTAGAGCAGTGGTCCAAATAAATAAGTGCTCGCTATATAAATAAATGAACAAATAAATAAGCGCTTCATAAATGCACCCTCGACCAACCGGAAGTGAATGAATTCGCTTCCAGGTAACGGGCCTTTGAGCACGTGATCATGATGATGTTGTTGTGGAAAGGATGAAATAAAATATGTACTTGTTGATACGTAGTTGATGTTGTTGTTCGTTCATTCGTTCGTTCGTTTGTTTTTTTTTGTTTGTTTTAAATTTGTTTGCATGTGTTTGTTTGTTATTGTTGTTTATAAGTTGTTTGTAATTTTTTTATAACAAACAATTTTTGATAAATACGGCAGAAGTTGTCGTGATCAATAGTAAATAACAGAATAACAGATGCTCAGTTTCTTCACTCAAATGCCTACCTTATTACATTTTCTTCATAACATTATTTTCAAACACTCACACACATACACACACCATACATACAAATAAATATACATACACATACACACACCATACATACATGAGTACTTCAAATGTATGCACTCATTTATAAGTACAACATGTACGTACAAACATATAAAAAGTATATACAAACATGTATACAAACTTTGACAGTTGCACAAGCAAACAAACTAACAAACTAACAAACAAACACCCTAAAACACAAATGAATCATTGATAAAAAAAACACACAGGAAACACATTGTATTGCAACATTCATTTTTGTCAGCAGATCAAAATAAAGTTTTATTTTGTATTCATTTGTATATATGTGTGTGTTTGTGTGTGTGTGTGTTTGTGTATGTGTGTGTGTATGTGTGTGTGTATTTGAACCATATAGAATAAACGAACGAATGAAGGAGCGAGTTAATTATGAAGCGATTTAATTGGTTAACGTTTTCAAACTTTATCATATTATAAAGCACATATGAGGCTTTAAACAAAATTCGATGAAGAAGCATTTTCAACAATTGTATGTGTGTATTTGTATGCATGTTTGTATGCATGGATGCATATGTGTACGTATGTATGTATGTGTTTTGTATATATGTAGGTTTTTGTATGTGGTATATAATATGGGGGTGTATAGCGTCAATGTTATTTATAGACCGCTGGGAATTTCCAGCCCCAAAGGGTTTTTCCAAAGTTGGCAACGCTTTCGCTTTTTATTGATAGAACTCGGAGAAAGTTTATTGCTTGCATGTACCTCTGTGTATTTTTATATGTGGTATTTTTGGGTGTTTATACAAAGGTACAATACATACAAACATACTTACTTATATGTAGCCAAACACACATATACACATACATAAGCACATGAATACACGCACACATACTTACACACATATACTTACACACATACTTACATACACACACATACTTACACACATACATAAATACACATACATACTTACACACATACATACATACACACACATACTCACACACACACATACAAACATACAAACAAACATTGTGACGTCACTTACTCGATATTACTCAACATAGCGCACAACGGCGATACCGATTAGATATTTATTGGTTGGCGCTGTTCTGCTATTGTTGTTGTTGTTGTTGATGATGTTGTTGTTGTTGTTGATGATGTTGTTGTTGTTGTTGATGTTATTGTTGTTGTTGTTGTTTCTTTTGATGATGATGATGGTGATGAGGATGTTGTTGTTGTTGATGTTGTTGTTGTTGTTGTTGATGTTATTGTTGTTGTTGTTGTTTCTTTTGATGATGATGATGATGAGGATGTTGTTGTTGTTGTTGATGTTGTTGCTGTTTCTTTTGATGATGATGAGGATGTTGTTGTTTTTTTCCTATTTTTACGTTTAATCTGTTTTTAAGATGTCGTGATTCACTACATCGTAATAATTTTCATTGTAGCCATCATCATTATCAGCAGCAACAGCGGTAGTAGCAGATGTAGCGGCAGCAGTTGCGGCAATAGTAGCATCATTATCACCGTCATCATCCCAATCGCCATCATCCTTATACCAAACATCATCATTATCAAAATCGTCGTCATGTCACATAAAAAAGTTATGGCAGTTGTAAATATAGAAATCACAGAACGATATAACAAATGGCATGTGAATGTATGTATGTATGTATGTATGTATGTATGTATGTATGTATGTATGTATGTATGTATGTATGTATGTATGTATGGATGCATGCATGTATGTATGCATGCATGTATGTATGTATGTATGTAATACATTTGCATGCGACATAAAATTTATACCGAAACATAATTAGCGGCCGCAATTTGCGGCTTGATGTATGCACGATGTTTTTTGGTGAAGATTTTTGTATGTATGTATGTTTGTCTGTTTGTTTGTTTGTTTGTATGTTTATATGTTTTGGTATGTATGTATGTATGAATGTGTGTATGCATGTATATTATAAATGATGGAATTTAGTTGTGTGTGTAAGCAGTTTGTATATGTTCATGTATGTATGTTTGTATGTATGTTTGTATGTATGTATATATTCATGTGTGTGTGTATGTATCTATTAAAATATTTACATATACATTTGTTCATATTCGTATATTTATAAATTTTTCCCCGCTTTTTTACGATGACGTCATGTTATTGATAAACAATAAACAACAATTTTTTTCTCCCTGACTGTTTACGTGTTTACGTTAATGTTTCTATGCCGACCGATAATAATTATTAATCTATGCCGCAGTCCTTCTTTATGATCTTCGTTTCATTTTGTCATCTATGTTGTCACGTGACGCTGGGCGATAATGTATACTTGATTTGTTCCTTTGATCATCCACATATTTATATACATCCGTAGTACGTTCACGATTGTATGTATGTATGTATGTATGTATGTATGTATGTATGTATGTATGTATGTATGTATGTATGTATGTATGTATGTATGTATGTATGTATGTATGTATGTATGTATGTATGTATGTATGTATGTATGAACCCATAATTGATTAGAACGTATGTATGTATGTATGTATGTATGTATGTATGTATGTATGTATGTATGTATGTATGTATGCATGTATGTATGTATTTATGTATGTATGTATGTATGCATGCATGTATGTATGCATGCATGCATGTATGTGGGTGTTTTTATCATTGCTGGCGTTTTAATGGCGTGATTTACTGCATCGGCTAATTTGAATGGTTTCGATTATACTGTTTGGTGACGTCATCTTATTGTTGTTGTTTTCGTTGTTGATAATGTTGATGTTATTGTTGTTGTTGTTGATGTCATTGTTGTTGTTGATGTTGTTGTTGTATTCCTCGTTAACAGCTTGATTGATTTAATGTCAGATAATCTATCTAACGAATAGCGTGGAGCGATAAGTGTTAACGATTGACACTCGTAAAGTCACGTCAGCTAGCAGGCCAGATGAATGATGAATGAACGAATGAATGAGTGAATGAATGAGTGAATGAATGAGTGCATGAATGAATAAATGGATGAATGTATGAATGAATGAATGAATGATCGAACGAACGAACGAATGAACGAGTGTATTTGTTTGATAATTTCTTTGTAATATTCACTAGGCTATATTTAAGTAAATTTATTTCAATTTTTCAACCATGAAATTATTTTTTATGCGTGTTTCCAATCATTCTTTATCACAGAGCAGAACCATGAAACTGATATCTGGCATCACTTTTCAATATAAAACGCTCCCTCTTTTTCTCTCTCTCTCTTTTTCTCTCTCTCTCTTTGTCTCTTTTTTTCTCTTTCGTTTTCTTTCTCTCAGTCTTTTACCTCATCATCTTCTATAATTCCTATTTTTATAATTTTAAATTGTTCTTTACTTAAATGTATTTATATAAAAGATAAATAATTTCCAACCTTGAGAAATGACGTCACCATAATTTAAATTCACTTTTGTTTACCAACACAGCTCTTGCGTCGTTCCTACCGACAACAACATCATCGTCTTCGTCGTCAACATCAATTTCTTCTCCTTCATCAGCATCATCATGGTTACCGAGATATCACGTGATCTCTCCTTCCGGCGATTACGTCACGACCGGAAGTGACGTCACTCTGCATTGCGACCTTCTTAGCGGCTCCAGTAACAACAACAGCAACAGCAACAACTTTAATAATAATAACAACGACAACAATAATAATAATAATAATCTCGTCAGCAAAATAATCAAATCGATTGATTGGCTTCATAATGGTCAGCCTTTAACTCATAAATCATCATCTTCATCGTCATCATCTTCATCGTCATCATCTTCATCTTCATCGTCATCATCTTTATCGTCATCATCAGCAGCAGTAGCAGCAGCAGCAGCGTCAAATTTATCATCATCGTCGTCGTCGTTACATTTGAAAAATTTCAACGAATCAAACGAGGGCACGTATCAATGCAGGGTCAAGATGGCGTTTGGGGTCCTGCTGAGTTCAGAGGTCAAACTAGAGTTAGCTGGTCAGTTCTTTAGATAATGATATTGATGATAATGATGACGACGACGACGATAATGATTGGTATGACGATGTTTAAATAATTCTAAATATTCCATTTTCGCTTAAATATAAATCCAAATATGTAATTTTATTCTTTACAGTGTTGAAACAAGAACAGCCCAACAATAAAGACAACAACAACAACAACAACAATTACAATAACAACAATAATAGCAACAACAAACAATCGGTCAAAATATTAGAGGCAACTCAGGGTTCCAACTTGGTTATTAAGTGCCCAGCGGTCATCAGCAGACCACCACCTTCTTATAGTATCACCTTCAATAATGCGTCCCTTCGTCTCATTGGTCAGTTTCTTTTTCTGGTTTTTATTCATTTATTTTTATGTTATCATTTGAATATTTTATAAGTTTATTTTTCTTTTCTGAATGAAATATTTTACTACTACTACTACTACTACTACTACTATTACTACTACTACTACTACTACTACTACTACTACTACTACTACTACTACTATCATCATTATTTTAATTATTATTATTATTTTCCTTAGATCGACATGTCCTAACTAGTTTCGGATTATTTCAAATACTAAAAGTGGACTCGTCCGACGAAGGGGTGTACAGGTGTGTGGCCAGTAACAACGTTTCAAGTAGTAGCTTAACCTTAGAACCGGCCTTTCAATTAGCTATCGTTAAACAAGGTACGTAATGTTTGTATGTGCGTATGTATGTATGTATGTATGTATTGTGTGTGCGTGTGTGTGTGTGGCTGCGTGTGTGTGTGTGTGTGTGTGTGTCTGTGTATGTGTTGTGTGCGTGCATGAGTGTGTGTGTGCGTTTATAATATGGATCTCTGGGCTTACATATACCTAATAAGCCTTATACTTAACTGTAATAATAATAATAACAATAATAATAATTACAACAAAAACTGATAATGATCAATTATTTTCCGAAATTTTTCTTAGGAAAATTTTTTTTACATTTTTCTGGCTAATTATTTCTTTACTTGTCATTCCATTGTTTGACGTTTGTTGCGTTTCGTCATTTTTGCACTCATTCACACAACTTCCGTCTACTTACTAATTTATCCATCTGTCAATCATTTGATCCATCCATCCCTCTATCTATCTATCCAATCAATCGTCTACCCATGCATCCATCTATCCATCTTTTATCTATCTAGATATCTATCTAGATATCCATAGAGATATCTATCCAACCAGTAATCTAAATGAATACAGTATCGGTAACAGTATAATGCTACGACGCAACACAATGCTTACAACTACATGCATATGCATGCATACATACATCCATCAATTTTCTCATTAAAGTTGGCAGGGCACAATCAAATCACGCAAATACATGTACACCTACTTGTACGTTGTATACGCGCGTACGTACACACACGCACGCACATACGTTTACGCATACACACCCATTTTTAACCAGTTTTTACAAGTAAAAACTAGAGAAAGAGAGAGAAACAGAAAAAAAGATAGAAAGAGAGAGAAAGAGATAGTTACCACACATACATTCACACAAAAAGATGACTTTACACACACACGCGCACGCATACACACGCACAGAAATTAAACACATATGTAGGCAGGGTCTTTGTACAGGAACGGATGAATAAATATCCTGTTGAATTATTTAGCTGTATTTATTTCTAATTATTTCTTTTACAAAATAATTATTTTTTATGATTTATTGTCTATTTGTTTGTTTGCTTGTTTGTTTGTCTGTTTGTTCCGGGGTTGTATACATTCATTTCTTTGTTGTGGTTTGATTGGTTTTTCAGCAAAGGTGTATACCATCTTGTTGCTATAAATCATTTATTTGTTATTAATGATGTTAGATGTGGATTAGAACTTTTTACTATTAAATAATTATGAAGTTTTTGTGAGAGGTTTTACCTGAATGCATTCTTTTATTTCTCTTCCGTCTATTTAAGAATCTACCCATTCAACCATTTTGCCATCCATCCATTCATCCCTTCATCCATCCATCCATCCATCCATCCATCAAATCATTTGAGCTTTTTGAGGCGAGCACTTAGAATAAACTGAAACCATCAGCACAAAATTCTTTAAACAACATTCCTGATGTAACACTTTGGCAAACAGAAACACACCCATAGACACACACACATACATACACACACACACGCACGCACACACGCACACGCACACGCACAGACGAGCAGAAGTTTCAGCTAACAACATAAACATATCAATTTTTATTAGGAAGTGCTTGGAAAACGCGCACACATTTACACTTAGAAAAATGTAAAACAGGTGAACGAAAAAAAAAAAGTTAAGAGCTACATAAATAAACTAATAAACAAATATTATTCTATTATAAATAAATAAATAAATATATATAATAATAATATATTAATAATAATTATTATATTAAAACAAATTAATGATACATATACA